CACTTGCTAGCCCGTTGGAGAGTACATATTTTCCCCTTGCGATCTGTGGATCTTTCACATCTGTGAGAAACAGCTTGCATGACTTTGTCAAAATGAAATAAAATCTGCCTCTAAGAGCTCTTAAGTGACATATAACGAGCTAGTCAGATTATTAGAGTTACACTGCTAGCTATAATTGCTAAGAAGATTTTAATATCCTTGGATAAAGCCAAACTATCTGTTTCAGCTTCAGTTTCTGGTCTTTTTGCTAATTCAAGCTAACTGGCTGCTAGCAAAGGTTAATTTTATAATACCCTATATATAACCCTGAAGCAAGAGAGTGAATTAAGGTGTTTCCCAAGATGGTCAAACTATTCCTTTAATGGGAAATAAAAAATTCTTGACATTTGTATATAAGAATTTAGCCAAACAGCTAGTCCATTACATCAGCTGAGAAATAACTGTTTCAGCATTGGTGATCTTCAAGGCTAATAAAAGTAAAGACCCTTAACAATATAGCTGTTTCAGTCCCATAAATATCACATTAAAGATCATTAGAAAATTTACAGAGTGACATTGGAGACCACCTACTCAAATAAACTGAAGATGCTCAGGGGACTGGGTCTACCTATTTTAGGCTATGTGTCTCTGTTGGAAAACAACACCGACCAGCTACAACTGAGCAGCATAAAACAACAGCAACATTTTTTGTTTTTTAAAATAACTGTTGATTTAAATGTGAACCGAGTAAAATAATGAAATCCCAGTACATTTGCACCAAAAACATGACTTTTACATTGTTCTGTTTGAGTTCAGCATTACAGTGTTATAATGACGGGCACCTAATTCTGAATTGTGTTCTTAATTGATCCCTTTTTAGTTCTCCCACTCAGCCGCCTGGCCTACTCCTCTGTCCTACATGGGTTCGTCGTAGTTGTAGGTGGGAGCTGCTGAGTACTGATTCTGCTGCATGGCGCCTTGAGCAGCCCCCATGGCGGCCTGCTGGGCTGCCTGCTGGACATGGGGGTTTTTCCAGGCACCCGTAGCCCACTCCTCCTGGGCTTTACCCAGGCTGCCACCACTGCCGCGGTAGAAGTTATGCACCTAAAAAAAGACAGAAAGGAGAAATGGGATTCAACATGAATTTTACTCTCTATCAAGTATGACTTTTATTTTTTTAAATTTGTAAAATTGACCAAATTACCATAAAGAAAAGGTGAATTTTATTATTTGTCTGTAGTGGCACCTCATTTTTTTGTGTCATGACCACATTATTGGCAACATTTACTTTCCAAAGAGCTGTTCCTAAGCAATTCTAGACCGAAAAAGATATATTTGAGACTTACACTCCCAATGCTTGTCATGTTTAAATAATGTTATACATGCTGTAACGCAAGAAATTCCCAGCTTATAATACTAAATGATATCATCCTATATCTTAATGACGTTCTTAATGAAGTTGACGCACCTTGTTAAGTATGTGACAATTCTGCAGTGGGATATTTATGATTATCTACTACTTTAATGTTGCATTTTAAATACACTAATATCTTGTTTTTGTTGAATTTATACCAATATGAAAAAACAATAATGAAGTGGATGAAAAATCATCACTATGCTGCGGCCCACTTAAAAACCAGAAAATCCCATGAAGCCCACCCGATCTTAGATCTTCTGATCGAAACACAAGGCAAATTGATGTATTTCTCTGAAAAATGTATTAAAAACATAAACACAGGCTGTTGGCTATTCATTGCTAATCCTACCCAGTCTTAAGCAAAGTGTTAAGGCCAATCTGTGACCCGCCTGCCTGGGACACAAACTTTAATACAGGAGCGGTAAATTCAGGTCAGAGTAATGAGCACTATCACAACATAACCAACTGTTATTACCATTTTTACTTCACTTTTTATATGAATAATAAATTTATATAAATATGTAATGGTACATACTTGCAAGTAATTTCAAACTGAATTTCTGTCGTTCCTGAGGCCCCTCTTGTAATATCTTTGCTTTGCTGTGCTTTACTAAAATCAAAAAGATAGTTTTCACAATCATCTAGTTTTTTGTCACAGTTTATTGGACAAAAGAGCTGAGTGCAGATCCAGAGCTGTGTGTTAATGCCACCTAGTCATGACTACCGATTGATTTATGTAATGTCCATGTGGGCAGGCACAGCCAAAGGGGCATCGGACCCTCAATGACAATAAGTGACATCAAGACAAAATAACTCCTGGTGTTGCTATTTTGGGACCTGTTAACTTGGGATCCGCAAAGTGAAGCAACTACCAATGAGAGCAAAAAATACCGCTGATTGATATATGAGGGTGTGGTGATAGATGGACAGCATTCCCATGGTAAGAAATTGCCACAATGACTTAGCAGGTATAGTTAAAACACTAGAATAATAGCCTTAAAGAAACAACAGATTCTAAAAGGTGGATGCTTCACACACATCTTTAATCCTGCAGCACAAAACAGTCACACCTTGACCAAAGCTTTAACGTTAGAACTCGGGATTAGCATCATCAACTTAGATGCCACCAATCATGAAATATGGTCACAATCCCCTCTTCTTTTCAAGAGTTGTGGCTTCAAATGTTTTTGCAGAACACTCTGATGTCATAGTGAAGTCAACCTTTGACATTTTGTATAGAAAACGTCATAATGTTATCCTATTAAACCTTACTGTAATATGTTGTCAAATACAAAGTTATAGAAACCCCCCCCCCCAAACAAAACAAAAACAAAAAAAACAGCCACAATAACCTCTGATCACCAAGTTCTAATAAGTACTTGGGCCCCTCATGGATTCCTTGCATTCACCAAAAAGGGATTTAAAAACAGCCTGAAATAAATAAATATCACCTCCAAAAATTTCTGTTGCTAGTGCAAATGAATCAAATGTCATGTTATCACTGCTTCCCTTTAAGTGGGAAACAGCGCTGGCATTATAATACAAGCTAATTATTCAATGCTACTTGGACTGGATTGCTATCTTTCACTTGATAATACCAGCACTGATTGATCTAATAATTTCTGTGACCAGGTAGAAATCAGTCACTCACCTTTGAGAGGGCGATGAAGGATAAAACAGCCACTGCAGTGAACATGATGGTGGGAATCAGCATGACCACAGCTGAGCCAATGTTGGTGCTGAAGAAGGTGATGGTGGCCAGCCAACCGCTGAAGAAGAAGAAGCACAGAAGAATCATCATATGCTCACAATACGCCATATTTAAATAATACATTAAGCTTGATAATTCTAGATAATTCTGATATTGGATTTTTAAGATTGATACCAAAATATTTAGAGACTATTGTTAGAAGCTGTGAATTACTAATCTATGCTGTGCCTAAAGCCTGATGTAGACTTCTGCAGAAAATCTACATCCTAACTTTACAACCAGAAACCAGAAACCCCTCTTAACCCTACATCACAACCTTCCATGCCATTGAGCCAGCATATAGATACATTTCTTAAAAGCTGAATGTCAGGTTACAGTGTAGAGTTAAAAAGAGTTTTCAGTTACAACGAAAGCTACAGCATAGATTTCCTGCCGAAGAATAATTCAGGCATGATTCTGTTCGGATCAGCTGGTTGTTGTGTTTGTGGAGTTCAAAACAGCCTGATCAAAATGGAAGTTGTAGAGAGCCTTGTGCTGGACAAACTCTGTGTTTTCCTAAAGGGTGTGTCTCCTGGGGTTGCTGTAGCTCAGGAGGTATAGCAGGCCGTCTGCTAATGGTGGTTCGAACAAAAAGGATTTACAAGGGGTAAAAAACTGCTTGTATACCCGCTTTTTAATATTTCCCATTTCTCTTCAGTACATTAACGTTAAAGAGAGGTTGAGTATATTACAGTATACTTATGTGGTGGTGGAAAACACGAACACGAACTCTAAACCTAGGTGATGGGAATATAGTTATTTCATTTATTAAATTATTTTCCCATATCTTGGCAATCAGGGAACAAAGAAAACAACCATGCATCAAAGTTAATCATATTTTATCACCAAAAAAATGATTTAAGAATTAGGAGTTAAAGTTTGATGGCTTAGACCTCAGAAGGATAATGAACCTCTTTAAAGCCTCATTGGTTTAGAAAAAAATTATTTTTTGAATGAAAGTGTATGCTTTAGATTAGATTACAAAGTATACCCCTTGATTCAGGTGCTTCTAGAATCATCTTTAACAACAATATAAGACAAGAAATAAACTCTATACATGCCAGTTAATTTCCATTTCATCTGTACACATTACTTTTAATAAACCAGTACAAACTCTTACCAAACTCCCCAGCCTGGAATGCCAACAGTCTGGATAATACTGATCACCACCTGGGCCATGAAGACGAAGAAGAAAGCCATGAAGTTGAATGAGCTGTCTGTCCTGCGTGGAGAGACTAATCGTCAGAAACGATCTTATTCAGCGGAACAGCAGGAAGAAGTGTAACTCAGAGGGAAACACGCTTACTTCAAGGCCTTGTAGATGGGCCTGAACCAGCACACGTAGGAACAAGGGGTGAAGAGGATGAGCCACAGGATAGCCATGCCAAAGTTGGTAGCTCCACCGCCTCCACACATCCATGCCAGGCAACCAATCAGATTAACAGCTAGCGTGGCACTATGCACTATCAGCGTCACAGAGAGGAAGAATGACAAAAACATAAAAGAGTGAGGAAACAAACAAACAAACAAAAAAAGGCTACAGCAAACACCCCGCAGGCTCCATCATTACTCATAACTCAGCAGGATTTAATCACTATGAAGACCAACAACTACACACTGCCATATTTCCAGTTCTACATTCAAGACTTAAACTACAATAATAAAATATGATATAGAGGTGCATTTTATTCAGCACACCATTTCCACCCAACATAACATATACTCTAAACTCTTTTCACCAGACTTACATTTTTGCTTTAAATAGCAGCACCTATGTGATAATGAAAAACATACCATAATACTCATGTGACTGTAATAACTTGACACTACTACCTACTTTTACAATTTATGTACAAATTATGTTCTTCATTAATGAGTTAAGAGTTAGTGGATCTCAGATAATAGTGGGGAATAAACAAAGAGCATAAATGTTTTTGGAAATTATTCCTATCGTTCACTATGAAACTGTACAATAACTCCTCTTTCTGTGACAGGTGACACCTGTCAAGCCTAAGATTGCACACACATACTTCTGTATTGTATTCTAAGAGTTATAGCATACATTAGAGGTGAATGGAACAATCCAAGTATCAATACTATCAAATATTGGTATTGGATTGTAACTTTGTTTCACAATGTACCATTTTTCATTTTGTACCCCACTGATTTGTGTAAATAAATTATTTTCTTGGGAAATTAAAAAAATATAGCTGAAGTCCTCATTTTCTGCCCGTGGGACCTCAATTGGGCTTCAGATTTGTAAACAGTTTGTCAGTCAAATCACAAACCACTAAGTAAATCTGTGAGCTAAATCATTTTCAAACTTTACCCCTCAAAATAAAAACCACGGTAAAATGAAAACGGTGGTTATCTGGCTCTGGGACATAATGTGAGACCGGCCAATCTAGTTTCCCAGCTGCACGGAGTGTTTGCACTCTTTAGTTCTCATAATATTTTGGGTAAAACAAAGCAGCCCGGCATGAGGAGGAAGAGAAGTAGACAGGTTAACGGGTTACAGCTAGATGCATGCAAATACCGACTGCTTCCAAATGCAAAGAAAATAAAAAGCATTTCCTGCAGGTACACTCACAGATCCAGAGGTAGTAGAGCCTCTTGCACATAGTGCGGTGTTGGTCTGGGATCTCGTTGAAGTCTTGGTAAAAACATGGCTTAAGGGGGATGAAGCGAGGAAGGGGAGGGAAGTTGTTTTCTAGGACACAGAGACGTGATTCAGTGCTTCACATCAAGAAGAAATCAAGTCAAGAGAGGTGCATGAGCTTTTATTCAACCTTTATAAAAGGGGGAAGCTCACCTGCCATGATTCACTGCTTTCCGCCACTTGTAAACCAGGCACACAGACTTCTTCAATCTCAGCTCCCTTGAAAAGCAAACTGCAGAAAAGGAGAGAAGTGCATGATTAAGTGCAACATCACTTACTATCCCGGCCCTGCTTGTAAGCAACAGGCCACAATCACTGCAATAGGAGTCTTTGACATCCTGACACGATTTGGAGAGAGGAGGTACCCATGGTGGTACCCAGGAGCATCAGATAGACTGAGATGAACCTGTTTTCTTGGTCACATATTTTAGCGGTGTAATGCGCGCTCCAGGACACAGTGTGGCCTTGTCGTGATCTCGAATGCATATCCTTTGGGATTCAAAATAGGCGTTTGAAAGGCCTATTGAGCTTAAAGGCTGGATTATATAGATGTTACTCTCTGTTTATCGCGTTCTCCTTGCTAAGCAGGCCATAATCAACTACCTTCCATATTTAACTGTGTTAGAAAATCATATTTGTAGCGCACGTCATGGTGGACGCATGGTGTATTGAAGGGCATCTTTCTGGCACAGATAAACCAATCTATGCCACGAAAATGCTGTCTGGCTGAAGTTGCTTTTATTCATTGTGAATCGCCGGCTGTCTTAGACGTGTATTTCGTTCGGCTGGCGGCAGTGATGCTGCAGTGGGGTAGTGCATTGAGATTACAGGCGATGGAGAAGCGTCCTTCAGCCTGCGCGACAGGCTGCTGCATCGGGGCTCTTGTTCATCATCCGGACGTCGAGCAAGTCGAGCACAAACTCCTCGCAGTAAACAGCCCGGCCTACAAATTTCGAGGTTTTACCGAAGCTAGAATCAGCTAAAAGAAAATTACATTTTTTAAAAAAAAAAAAATCCAATATTTTCCCTCCCTCTCTAGCTGGAGACCAATGAATGGAAATGCGGTGTCCTACCTCCGGTTCAGTCCGTGAATGTCGCTAGAATACCTCCGTCCGTTTAAATTGCATCCTACGATTTCATCTGTATTAAAACACAGTGGCCGAAACAGCTAGATCTGGCGCTAATCACACGAAAATGTCGCGTATTTCCTCAAATGATGGGGTTGGGAGTAAGAGGCGGGCACGTGACGTATGGTCTTTTCATTGCGTACATACCGGCCCCCTCCTCGACGCTGGGTTGTGCCCGGCCGGGTAGGACCAAGGCCCTGGAAAAACAATGGATTTGTTGCTGACCTGACCTGACCAATCACAAAGGAGAAATATTTTAGCTCTTAACCAATAGGTTGACAGTGTTAAAAATCAGAGGAGGCATTACACAACCTGACCTGATTGGCTGCCTGTTATCAGCTACTTCCATAATAAAGATACCGCTTTACTAGTAGTATAAATACATTTCAATGTACAACTCGTTTCCCAGTAGTGGTAGTAGTAGTAGTAGTAGTAGTAGTTTTTAATATATATACAAGTGCAATAAAATAAAACAAAATAAAACAAAACAAAATAAATAAAAACACACTTGATAAGTAGAATTACTTTTTTTTGTAATTTTGCATCTGTACACCAAGATAATGGATTTCAATTCAATTGATTCAGGAACTTTTTATATGTACCCCCTATTTTCAGAGGGTCGAAACATGTACAATTATACAACAAGTTATTTGATGATTAGATGAGGTCTGTTCCCTCGTTATTCCGTGCATTTAGTAGCAGTGCACTCACATCCTCAATACGAAGTCTAAAAAGATGTCGCTGCAAGCAAAGGAGACACTCATTAAACAGCTGGCAAATCCTCTCAAGGGAGGAAGTGCAGCATTTGGTTATAAATTCTAGACTTCGGGCACCAGCTGCAAAATATTTTCATCCAAAAACAATAGTATTATAGTACCTTTACCTGAGGTACAACAAGTTAATATGGACTGGATCAATTCTCTTGTGCTTTTCTCCTATGCTTGACTACAAATTTGCTTCACAGTAAGTTAAGTTTATTCCAAAGAAACCACATAATCAGCATGGCTGAAATTGCTGTGTGCAATTAAAATACTTATCAAGCTGAAAAGATACTAAGGAGTAGTAAATTATTTATAAATGACTTATTGATCACTTTTATACCAGGCTGCGAAACAATTCCCACATGTGACTGGATTAGTATTATTAGAAACTGAGAAACCATAAGCAACCAAGGGATTTCTTTTATTCAAAGTACATATTCTGCTAACTTGAACAGGGGTTTCAAACTTAAATGCGCTGTGGGCCACTGCTGGCACTGTCATCTCATGTGAGGACCATTTTAGTGTTCAAGTAGTACAAAAAACAAACAAACAAGAAAACACCCACAAATATTTCTGAGTTTAGTGTTTGTTGTATAAAAATCTACGGAAAGACCAAAAGACAGTAGTCTATTCCACAGGAAATGTTTGGTTTTCTTGAAGGAATTGGTCTGGTAGATTATTTAATTCTATTTAAGAGTAATTGATGGATATAACATGTCTTTGAAAACAGATTTGAAGGAAGGGAAACAGAAAGAAAAGGTTGAGGTATGCCCAACTACGCAAGAACTGGACTGTAGAACAGTGGCAACAGGTCAGGAGAGAGAGGTATAGCAGAGTGTCTACAGCCACCTGGAAAACAGCTGTGTTTGGGATCTTCGCAAATTGATGGAATAATGAACACAAAAAATACCATCAGATTTTGATCCACCACATATTACCATCTGGAAAACATGTGATTCAAATCAAACAGTGGATCACTATTAGTCATAGACTGGCCTTCCCAGCGCCTGGACCTCATCATTACTGAAGCAGTGTGGGAAGATCTTGAGAAAGAGTGGAACAAAAGGCAGCGAACATTCAAAAAAGACCTCTGAATGCCCTTCAAGAAACCTGGAGAACTATTTCTGAAGACTGCTTAAAGAAATGATAAGAAAGCTTATCAAAGAGCGTTCAGGGTGTGGTGAAAAACTGATATCTTTATATAAAATATTGACTTTCAAGCGTATTAGAATGGTCCAAAATCTTTTTTTTTCTGTACTTCAATGTACTGTATGTTTGCATATATCTCACTAAATCGGTGTGCCTAATAAAATACAAAGAAATGAATGGCCTAAGACTGTCTATCGTGCCACCCCAGCAGCTGAAGCACTGTTTAGTTGCTACTGTCAAACATTAGATGGCTCTCTGAAACATCGGTACAGTTGGTCTCATGAATCCTGCCTTCGCGTGCCCTGTGCAATGTTAGACTCCAGGTAGAATAAACGTTTTAAAACAGCAGACCGAATACACATTGGCGTTTATGCGGAAATTAATTTTGTGCTCCGTCTTTGTCTCAGACTGCCTCGATAGCACGGCTCACACGCTTTCTCAGCTGCACATCTGTCTGATGTGTTTCGTATACGGTTTCCAAAAGGCAGAACTGTGCTTGAACGCAGCAGTGCCTGAAGCTAACGCTAGCTTTCCCTTCAGTGCTATGAGTTAAGCAAGACTGAAGGTAAGGGCAAAAATTATATTTCTAAACAAGGTCTGTCAAATTTAACTCATACGAGTGCCACAGTGATGTATTCCCAATACATACGGGGACCTGCAGTAGTCCGACAAGGCTTTATTTAGTGAAGAGCGGCAGTTATGCTCTCTTGTAGTGGCTCAGCTAATGTTAGCTACTCAGACGTCGCTTTCTTTGCATAATATTAGTAACCAAATACAGAAAGGTAAGACTAACATTACAAATCAGCATTAGTAACTATAATTGAACTGTCACTTTTGTCCTAATATTGACTTTATAAAGATTGTATTAAACCAAAACAATCTAACTTAGCAAAAGCTAAAGTATGTAATTGTTCCAGTAGATGAGCTGAATTTAGCTAGTGTCCTAGTTTAGCAAACCAAGGGTGAGGTGTAATGTCAGCGTTTGCATCCCAAGCAGAACATCTTTCAAAGTAAAAGAAAAAAGGCAGCGAGATGCCACACTGCCACAATACTCACCAAAAAGCTAAATGTTAAATTATAGCATCCTCTTTGATGTGAGGATTTGAGTGAAATAAACTACAAGAGCCTTGATAGTTGAAATATTTCAATGTGTGAGGATTAAAAACTTAGTCATTATTGACTGCAGACTTGCATAAAGCGGAAACCTAGACCTTGGCCGTGTGCTATCTTATCTCTTTGTACACAGTGCTGGGAATGCAGCCACCGCTGCCACCTGAAGCAGTCAGAGAGCTGGTGTGCTCTTGCCTGCAAAGAGACCCCGTAGCAGCAGACCTGCGATGCAGCCTCTTCGTTGCTGCCACTCAGAACTACAAGAGAGACTCTTTGCTTAGACCATTCCCTCCTCGTTACTTAAGTGGTGACAATAAGGAGTTTGAGGAGTTGGTGAGTGCTAAAGTGACTGTCAAAACCTCTTGAAGATCCTAGATTATAGTCACTGGTAGCCTATGCTTGCCTAAGTGCTCCTCAGTTTAATCATACAAGCTTTAACCAGCCTCAGGGGTAGGGTCAAGATCACCAAACCAACAGCAGCAGCACCTCTGTAGTTCAGCCATATATTCATTCACTCAGGTGACTGATCAGAATGATGACCAAGCCTATGGACAGAGGTATCCTAGCACAAGGACACTCATTAACATGAAAAGTGATACAGAGCTTTACATGGCAACTAGAAAAAATAACATGCATGCACACATCTACACAAAAGGGGAAGACAGAGGGATGGCAGACTCAACAGTAGAACATAAAATGTAGCTACTTCAGAAAAATTCCCAGCAAGTAATCGGTATCAACTCTCAAATCCACTACCACTCATATAGGCTGACCTATGATCCTGTGTTGAATGAGTGGGAAGAAACAAGAATTGTTTATTTTCAGTTGCGATATGGTCTGCTAAGATAATTGAGAGAACTGATCAAATGTAACATGATATATATCCACTCGGTGGCAGTGATGTGCTGTTAATGGTAGCTTCATGCCAATTATTACTCATAGATGAATTTGTGATCATTTCATGTCTTTGGTGTCTTCTCACTTTGAGAGACGTGTGTAAAAGAGACATTTGAATCTGTTTGTGGTAATATGATAAAACAAAGGAGTTTTTCCTTCTCCAGCTGGCAGATGTGAACTCGTTGCCTGGTGTGAGAGAGCTGGTGAGACTACGACCTGGAGAAGCAGATCATCATTTGGCCCTCGCACACTGGATTCTGTCTTCAAAGAGCTTTGCTGTAAAGACACTACAGAAGGAAGAGGTATGTTACAGGCATAGAGAGATAAACCACAAACTTGCACAGCTTTCTTCTTTGCTCAAGCGTGTTTCTCCGATCTTCACTAGTACGCCAAACTCTGCAGCCTGACGGAAAATGAAGGGATGTCTGCACCCGTGCCAGACTTCCTCTTTGAGCTGGAGTACTCTGATCAGATGAACGCGAGGTTTGAGAGGACGAGGGAAGGACGAGATGTTTTCTATGCTTTCCACGGGAGCCGCTTGGAGAACTTTCATTCGATTATTCACAACGGCCTACACTGTCACCTCAACAAGGTCAGTGTACCGAAACCTTATTTAAAAAAATTGTTTTTTTACAGATCATGAGGAGCAAGGCAAGTTTAAGAGGATGCTGAAGGGCTGGAGTGTAAATCAGAGTGATACATTGTGCTTACATGGACATTTTTCATTGCAGAACTCGGTGTTTGGAGAGGGGACCTACCTCACTAGTGACCTCAGTATGGCTGTCCTCTACAGTCCCCACAGCAGCGGCTGGAGAGAAAGCATTCTAGGTCCACTGCTGAGCTGTGTCGCCTTGTGTGAAGTCATTGATCATCCAGATGTTAAATGCCAGGTGAAGAAAAAAGGTATGTTTAACAGTCAGGTAAAAGCAGTATGTCTTCAACATGGATTCCAAAGCTATGAGGAGGCAACAAAAAAGTGACAGTTTATGAAAACACCTGAGCTGTCAACAATTAGCAATAAGACATATGGAGTAAAGAGGTCAAAAATGTGTGCATTTGTACATATATGACGGGTCACAGTTTTTAAATAAGAGTGAATCAGAGAGACTGGGAAGAGAAAAGGAACAGAGCAAATAATGGGAGACATAATTCGGTGGAGTGAGCAGAACCAGAGCAGAAATGGGCGAGGGACTTGATGGGTGAGTGATGTTAGATAGGGA